AAATAAAAGCAAAACTTGTTTTGAATAATTTCTTTGTCATTTGTAGTGTGTTTTTAAGAAGGAAAAAAAATTAAAATTAAAATCGTAAATCGATTATTTATTTATTATTTTTCGCCATATCGTCCAGTACCTACCTGATACTACCTGTATCTAAAAGGGAAACTGTCTGATCCTTACCAGCTTCTCTGTATTGACCGAAGACCATGTCGCTTGGGTCAAGAGCAGCAGCGCTACCGATGTGTGTCCCCTCCTCACCATAGTTGGTCATGTAAAAGGAGATCCGACCCTGTAGCAGAGACAAATGAACACCACGTTACAACATTCTTCAGCTGTTCCACAGTTACTCCAGGAAATACACGAGGAAACAACAAACAAACCTGTCTCTGAGACTCATAAAGAATGCGGTCCATTGTATTCAGCAGAGTCATCTTTTGATAAAAGTTCAAGACTGTCTCTTTGGAGAGCTGGGGCAAGAGAGGAAACAAAACAAATTAGCTTTTGGGCACAACAAAGTGACGAGTGGAGGTCTTTGGATAACCAGGCTGACAGTACCTGAGGGTCTTGAGAGGGGTTGATGATATTGCCCTGCCTGTCCATCACCCGGTACACTGGGATCCCAGAGATCACATTGGGCTGAATGAACTCGAGGTGATCCACAAACTCGGCCGAGGCTCCAGGGAACTGTGGCTTTTCCAGCGTCGAGTCAAAAGGCTGCTGCTGCCGTGCGGCCTGACAGATTGAATACAAGCATTATTTATTAATAACAGCACGGTGGCTGTGGCAAAAGGAAGGCCCTCTGAACTGACAACACAAAAGGAGGGATTCATCTTTCTCTTAATAACATATAATTTACAGAGAACAAAAGCTTCGGCCGCTCCGTTAACACTGAATGGAAACACAAAAACACTTTACTTTTTGCATGATGTCATGTTATAAAAGGTGATTTTCCTGGAATATGGCCACGTTTCCTGTTTTAGACACTTGCTGAAACACTTGAAAT